AGCAGGTATCACATCCAAATAGCAGCCCTGAGTGAAATAAGGTTGATAAATGAAAGCCAGCTTACTGAAGTCAGAGCTGAACACATGTTTTTCCTGGGATAGCCACAGTGAAGGGGAGTGCCATGAAGCTGGTGTAGGTTTTGCAATCAAAACCAATCTAGTCAACAAGCTTGTATGCCTACCAAAAGGAGTGAAAGACAGGCTCGTGACAATGCAATTGCCACTTGCAGGGAAAAGCCATGCCATCATCATCAGTGCCTATGCTCCCACCATGACAAACGCTGATGAGGTCAAATAAAAATTGTATGAAGACCTGGAGACCCTTACCATCAATGTGCCAAAAAAGGACAGGCTTATAATTCTGGGTGACTTTAATGATAGAGTAGGCTCAGACTACCAGACATGGCAAGGAGTCCTTGGGAGGAATGAAGTTGAAAACAGCAGCAGCAATGGTCACTTACTACTGAAAACTTTTGCATCTCATGACCTTCTCATCACCAACACTGTCTTCTATTTACCTAAGCACAATAAAACTTTGTAGATGCACCCTTACAGCAAACATTGGCATTTAATAGACTATGTGATTATAAAGAGAAGAGAAAGACAGGATGTCAGAGTAACAAAGGCAATGTGTGGTACGAGTGCTAAATTGATCATAGACTTATCCTTTCCAAGCTGAATGTCCATATTCAACAAAAGTGATGGCCCCAAGGCAAAATGACTACCAGAAGAATTAATGTCAACAGGTTAGAGCCTTTCTCTGAGTGGGAACAGCTTGTTGCTAACTTGGAGGGAAAGTTGAGGTAACACACAGTTGGCAACAGTGGAGCAAAAAAGGAGTGGGCAGCTTTCAGAGATTTGGTGAACAGCACTGCATTTGCTCATCTGGGTCAGAACACTTGCAAACATCAAGACTAATTTGACGAAAATGATGGGGAAATTCAGAAGCTGCTAAATGAAAAACAAGAACTCTGCAGGGTTTACCAGCAGGATAGTTCATCCATCCCTAAGAAGGTAGCATTTCACTCCATCAAAAGTAAAGTACAAGCAAAGCTTAGAGAAATGTGGGATTCTTGGCTCAATAAGAAGGCAGATGAAATTCAGTTTTATGCTGATAATAACAATTCAAAGCACTTTTATGATGCCCTGAAGGCTATTTATGGGCCAAAGATCTATGGTGCATCTCAGCTAATCAGTGCTGATGGAGCCACATTGATTAGTGATAAGGAAGTGATCCTAGAGAGATGGACTGAATATTTCCATAGTGTTCTCAACAGACCATCAGCAATCAACGCTGAAGCCATTGACCATTTACCTCAGGTTGAAGTCAATCCCTCCCTAGCTGAATTGACAACTGAAGAACAGGTTTTGAATGCCATCAGGTTCCTTTCTTGTGACAAAGCATCTGGTGCTAATTCTATTCTAGCTGAGATTTACGAGGTGTGTGTAAGGGGTCCATTGCTCATACAAAAGTTGACTGAACTTTTCCAGGTTATATGGTAAGAGGAGGTTATCCCCAAGGAGTTCAAGGACACTTCCATTGTCCATCTCTATAAAGGTAAAAGAAATAGATTGTCCTGTGACAATCACAAAGAGGTCTCTCTCTTAGTCATTGCTGGCAAGATTCTTTCCAGAGAACTCCTTAATAGGTTGATCCTTCACCTGGAAGATGATCAGATGAAGCCAGTATGGCTTCAGAAAGGGCTGAGGAACAGTCGAGATGGTGTTTGCTGCCCAGAAACTCCAGGAGAAATGCCAGGAGCAGAACAGAGGTCTGTACACAATGTAGATCTGACCAAGGCCTTTGATGCTGTCAGTTGTGAGGGCTTACAGAAAATTGTATCAAAATTTGGTTGTCTGAAGAAGTTCATCAGTATGGTATATCAATTTTACAGTGGCATTCTTGCCCAGGTTCTGGTTAATGGATGATGCTTTCATGCTTTCTCAGTCATGAATGGAAAGAAACAAGGCTGTGTGCTTGCTCCCATGCTTTTCAGTATGGTGTTTTTAGCCGTGTTGTCAAATGCCTTTAATGAGGACAAGCGTAGCATCAAGGTCAGTCAGCTACCTTACTGTGGTAAATTCTTCAACTTGAAAAGGCCGAAAGCCAAGATTAAAGTGGAGAGAGTATTGGTGGATGATTTTTTGTTTGCAGATGATTGTGTACTCCATGCAGCGTCTGAAGCTGAGATGCAACAAAGTATGGATCAGTTCTCTGTTGCTTGTGCTAATTTTGGCCTAACAATTAACACCAAGAAAACACAGGTGCTCCATCAGCCAGCACCACACCGTCCATATGTGAAACCATCAGTTACAGCATATGGAGAAATTTTGAATACTGTAAATAAGTTCTCTTACCTTAGCAGTATACTTTCCAGGGATGTACACGTTGATAATGAGGTTGGTACACCCATTGCCAGAGGTAGCTCAGTGTTTGGGAGACTCTGAAGGAAAGTGTGAGACAGAAATCTTATAGACTGACTACCAGATTGAAGGTCTACAGATCTGTTGTGCTGACCTCATTGCTGTATGCCTGTGAAACCTGGACCAGCATCATGCTAGGAAACTGAATCACTTCCATTTGAATTGTCTTAGCAAGATTCGGAAGATCACCTGGCAGGATAAGATACCAGACATTGAGATCCTTTCTGAACTAAACTGCCAGGCATTCAAACTCTGCTTAAGAGAGTACAACTCTAATGGGATGGTCACATTGTTCGAATGCCAAACACATGCTTGCCAAAAAGACTTTTGTGGAGAGCTCACATAGGGCAAGCTCTCACATGGTGGTCAGAAAGTGACACAAGGACACTCTCAAGGTTTCTCTTAAGAAAATTGGAATTAATTGTGTGACGTAGAAGACATTGGCACAGAACCACCCAGCAGGGCGTGCTGTCATTAGAGAAGGTGCTGTGTTCTATGAACAAAGCAGAATTGAAGTAGCTCAAAATAAACTCGAGATGTGCAGATTTAGGGAATCCACCCCAAATGTTCACATGTACTATTTATGCCTGACCTGTGGTAGAGCATTCCAAGCTCATTGTTGGTCTGATCAGCCACAGTCAGACACACTGTAACTTGACTCTAACATGGTGTTGCCATTTTGATCTTCTTTGAGAACAAAGGACAACAACCAAGTTTATATTTAGTAAAAGGTTTGTTTTTTTTAGTTTACCTCATTGGTTTAATCTCTCCAGATCTGGATTTCCATTTGGAAATTTGTGCATCAAGCACAAAACAAGCTGTTAATTTCTGAATTGTTCTGGAAATGGGGGCCATGGACCTGTCCTTTTGGGATATTCAAAGACAGAGGGTGGATGTAAGTGCTGGAGGTTTGGCATCAGCTTCTAGGGGAAAATACTAGTAAAAGAAAATATCTATACTTTATCAATTTCTCATTTTTAGGAATTGACAGGTTGGGTCAGCTTGGTGCTTTAGTGACACCTTCTCTTCTTGATCCTTTTTTCTAATCTGTTAGAATATGCAAATTCCTCAAGAATAGAGATTGTTTGTATCCTTATTGCCTAGCACAATGCCTGGTATCTAGGACATGCTTAATAAATGCTTATTAATTGGTTATTTTTATATTTGTCTAACCAGATAATAGTCCAACATTCTGACTGCACACAAACATGTTACATCTACAACCAATGACTTCCTATCACTAAAAATGTAGTCATTTTTTGTGATGTTGTGTTATTTGCTACAGACATCTTCCATTTCTCTTCTCAGATGAAGTAGTCACTTGACTAAAGTTCAGCTCTGATGCTTTATTGTGGCATTAAGCCTGGGCTTCTTGCAGGCTGTACCAATGGAACACAAGCTTTGGCAGGTCCTGCTAAGCTTGAAAGGCATTAGGTTTAGCCTTTTTGTCAAAGAACTAGCCTGTTTGAACGTCAGCTTACTCAGGTATAAGCAGGTTGGCCACTGGGTAGTAGTTATTTTTTAGCCATATGGAGCCATGAAATAGAACAAAAATGCAAAATTGACCTCAATCTTTTAAGGCTCCCTTCTGCTTCCATAATAGCATAGAAGCGGAAAAGGAAGTAGAAGATACCAAGTATCACACTTTTAAAGACTGTCCAAGGGTAATTAATAAAACTGTTTCAACGTGTTGCCTCTATCAGAGCAAAGACTGTCATATTGACATACTACTGCAGAATTGATCTATATAATTATTGGACATTTTACTATAAATAAAATCCAAAGATATTAAACATTTCACAACTAAATGGAAGATGAACTGTCAGTTCTTTGAAGAGATAAGTAAAGAAGTTGGTAGAGTTGGTTCCATGATGTTCCCAAAGGTAACAAGAAAATAATTTTGTTATCTCAACTTTTAGAGGTCATGATAACCTAAAGCATACACACCACCATAAAAAATAAGTATAGCTTATGTATAAGTATCCAGTATAAGTATCCATTACAGAGGATAATAAATAAGTTATATGAAGAACTCAATAAGATCTTCTAAATCAAATCAACAATATACCTTGATATTAGGTGACTTCAGTGTGAAACCAGAAATAAAGGAAAATATGATTTGAAATCAAGGAACAAAATAGGCAAAAAAGGCTTAAAGACTACTCAGAAATCTTATACCTGTATATCATGAGGTGAAATAAGTACAGACCCATAACTTGTTTTTGTCTATTTTGCAGACATTGGCATTTATAATCACCTACTCTAGATTTCCAAAATATTACTTACACAAGTCTGTTGAAGTAGAGAAATGTCCTATAAAAATCTCATTTTAAAATGTGAATATGTAAGTGGCATCAAGTTAAACTTATGACAAACTATAAAAATCTAAGTTATTTTCATGTATTATAAAAATACATCAATTTTGTGAAAATATCAAGGATTCTCCATATGTTCCCAGCCCCTTCAGCTTGATTTCTCATTTTCAACTTCTTTCTCTTTCTATTCAGCCTCTTTTTTTGGTAGAAGTTGAGGGTTCATGATGTTTATGATACCTTTTTTTTTCTATTTCCCTCTAGACAAAAGTTAAACAGCTACAAAAAGAAATAAACTCTCTTGCTGATGCACGTTCAGAGAATGACGAACTACGCAAGTTGAATAAAGCCCTGGAGACAAAATATGCTCAGGTATGATTAGTGCTTGGAAAGTTAGGTAGTTGCTATAGTATAATTATCTCTTAATAGACTGATCTCACACTCTTCCAGTGAAATCGATGTGCTAGCACCTAATGCCATTCAAAAATTTTTTTTGTTGTAGACAAACTCAGAACTCACTGAAAATAAGATAAACCTACAAAAAACAGAAGCTCAGCTAAAGGAGGTATAAAAATAAGTACACTGATTTTTTGCAAACCTATTAAATATACCAACACATAAATAGGTCATGCATATTGGAAGTTTAACCTCAATAGTCTTTGTTCTTAAATTAAAATACAAATAGCCATTAATACAAATATGTCCTTTTTTTTTGTGTGAGGCAGTTGGGGTTAAGTGACTTGCCTAGAGTCATACAGCTAGTGAGTATTATGTGTCTGAGGTCAAATTTGAATTCGGGTCCTCCTGACTCAAGGGCCGTTGACCTATCCACTGCACCACCTAGCTGCCCCTATACAAATATATCCTTTTGGTTAAGTCATATAGCAGCTTTATTGGACCCTCAAAAGAAGAAAAACTTAAAGCTTATTTGACTTAGACATTTTCTTTGTAAATACATTGAATTTACATGACCCTAGACAGAGAAAAATCCAGAGCCCTATTAACAAAGGACTGTTTCATACTAGGTCATATATTGTTTTTCTCTACAAGAAAGAAAAAATCAACACAAGGATAACATGGTGAAGATTTTTTAAATAATTAGTGGGAAAAACACCTCCAGTAATGGGTTTCAAGCTAAAGCAAATGACAATCTTCAGTGAACACAAAAGTACTAACCAGACATTTCAATATACAGGGGAAAAATATTGAACAAGTTCTTCCTCTGACACCTTTAGCTGTGTGACTTTGGTTAAATAATTTCTTTAGATCTCAATTTCCTCATCTGTAAAATGGAAATAATAATAATACTTGTACTCCCTAAGTCACAGATTTGTTCAATTCAGCAAAGCATTTTACTTGTATGCCAGGCATTAGGTGCTTGCATATAAAAATAAAAGTCCTTGCCCTTAAGGAGCTTACATTCTATTGTAGGGAAATAAATACATAGATAATAAGCTACCAAATATGTAAAGAAAGTATATATAAAAGAGGCAGATCCAAGATTACAGAGTAGCAGAAAGTACAGCTGAGTTTGCTGCCACAACTCCTCCAAACATATAAAAAAATGCGTCAGACTGAGTCTTGATTAGGAAAGACAAGGAAAAAAAATCAGTCATTTTTGTATATTGTGTCAGTATAGAGAAATAGGTAGGAGTTCTGCAATGATTTGTAATGACTTTATGAAGCATTACAACACAGGGAGAAATAGAGTACCAAGACAAGATGAGGTCCCAAGTCAAGCACAGGTAAGCTTAAACTAGTATAGAGCTCAGAAATAGGTGCAGACTGGCAGCTCTGTCCCTTACTACCCACTTCCAGGTCACAAATCCAGAACTTACTGAGGAGGGGACCTGAACCTAGGGGTGTCATTCCTTGGTGAGGTCACAGGCCTGAGGCTGTGTATTGAGCAATGAGCAGATTCAAAAACAAATAGAATCTATATGGTTCATACTCCTGGGGTGGAACAAGGTCTTAGTTCCAGTTTCCAGTTCATTCTGAAATCTTTAGCAGCAGGAATCCCAGGCCAAAGTAGAGCATGCAGTTTTATTACTATGAAACAGCAGAACTTTTCAGCTGGTTAATACTGGCTGAATCCTACAGTAGTCTAGTGGAAATGGGACAAGTTTACAGGCCTTGACTCAGACATGAACCCAGTTCAGGAACTTGCAGATTTGTGCATCAGGGCACAAATCAGACTTTTCCCTGAATCAGACCATTTTGGGAGCACTAAAAACTTGCAGATCCCCAGCCTGAGCCATCCCTGGGATCATTCCTGGAATAACACAACACTCAATATCCCAAGAAAGCAGCAGCAAGACCAGCCCAAACATTCTCTCTTGTAGTTCACAGAGCCCAGCCCTGACAAAATCTGAAGTCAAGAAGTAGGTTGGAAGAATGAGCAAACAACAAAAATTAATCCCCCCATAAAAAAACTATTATGACAACAGGGCCCTCAAGACACACACCTAGACGAAGATTCCAAAATATCTATAAGTAAAGCCTCAAAGAAAAATATAGTTTGGACACAGGTTCAGCCAGAATTCCTGAAAGAGATGAAGCAAGCAGAAAAAAGAGTTAGGATGCTTTTTATAAATGAAATGAGAACACTAAAGAAAAAATTTTAAAAAGAAGTGAGAGGTATGGAAGAAAGAATTGGAAAGGTACATAAGGGACGCAAAAACTTGCCAAGCAACAAACTCCTTGAAAATTAGAATGGACCAAAAAGAAGCCACTGACTCCATAAGACAATAAGAAATATTAAAACAAAGTCAAAATACTGGAAAAATTTAAAAAAAAATGTGAGGTATCTCATAGCAAAAACATCTAACCTGGAAAATATATCAAAGAGCAAAAATTTAAAAATCATTGCACTACCTGAAAGCCATCACTATAAAAAAGAGTCTAGACATTATATTTCATGAAATCTTAAATGAAAACTTCCCAGGTCTTTTAGAACCAGAGGGCAAAGTGGAAATAGAAAGATCTACCAGTCACCTCCCAAAAGAACCCCCAAATGAAAACTCCTAGGAACATTATAGTTAAAATTCAGAGCTTCCAAATCAAAGAAAAATTACTTCAAACAGCCAGAAAGTACCAAGAAGCTGTCATAAGGCTCACACATGATTTAGTAGTCATACTACAGAGGAATGGAAAGTTTGGAATATGATATTCCAGAAGGCAAAGGATATAGGGTTACAAATAAGTATAATTTACCTAGCAAAACTAAATATGTTGTTATGGGAGGATAAATACACCTTTAATGAAATAGAGGAATTCCAAGTATTCCTGATTAAAAAATAGACCAGAGTTACATAGAAACTTTGAGTACATACATAATAATCATAAGAAATATAGAAAGGTAAACATGAGTAAACAATCATGAGGGCTAAAGAAAGATAAACTGTTTGCATTCTAATATAGGGAGATAATTCAATAAATTCCCTCATAGTTCTATTCATCATCAAGGGTTATAGAGGAAGTCTAATTAGACAGAGGGCCTGTGAGTGGTTTTGTTATATCTTGATGATCTTAAAAGAGGAATGGAAAGGGAGAATAGTAATATATTGCAGGGAGGAGAAGGAGAGGAAGGATAGGGAAAATTATTTTGTATAATCAGGATATGGAAGTCGATACAAGAAGTCAATTTTAAAAAGTAGGAAGGGGGGATGGGCAATACTTGAACTTCGTTCTCATCTGATTTGATCAAAGGAGGTAAGAATACACACAATGAAGACAGAAATAATTTCATTTAACAAGAAAAGTGGGGAAAAGGGGGAACAAGAATAAGGTAGATTGAGGGAAGTATTAGTCCTAAGCTAAACAAGCTTCAGTAATGTACCAAAATATTGATAGCAGCTCTTTTTGCAGTGCCAAAAAATTAGAAAATGGAGGGGTGCCCATCAACTGAAGAAATATCTGAACAAGTGATGATATATAAATGTGATGGGATACTATTGTGGTATTAAAACATTTATAAAGGAGATGGTTTCCAAAAAAACCCAGAAAGTCATATAAACTTATACATAGTAAATTGAGAACAGTAATAATAATATTGTAAAAATAAACAACTTTGAAGGACTTAGGAACTCTGATCAGCACAATGACCAACCACTATTCCAGAGGACTCATGATGGGACAGGCTACCCTTCTCATAATAGGTGAAAAACTCAGTGCCAAGTGAGACATTTTTTTGAACGCTGACAATGCAAGAACTTGTTTTGCTTGATTCTACATTTTTGTAACAGAGGCTACGAACTACTGTGTTTTTTTCTTCCTCAATTAGGGGTGGGAGGGAAGTGTGAGGAAGAGAAGGTAGGTTTTTGCTGATTTAAATTTTTAATTTTAAAAAATACAAATATTAAAATGTGTCTCCTGACTCTCAGCAAAGAGGTCATGGACTAGACAGGTAAGGGATGAAACATATTTTTTCAGATATGGTAAATGTTTTGATTCATCTTGCTTGACTATTTATCTGGTAGAAGAAAGGGCTCTGTGGTGGGAGGGGAAAGCAATTAATGGGAAGTGACTAATGCAAAAAAAAAAAAGACCATGAATATATTTTTAAAAGAACATACACACACACACAAAGTAGTTTTGTAGGTAGTAGAAGGCAACACTAATAATTGGGAAGATTAGGAAAAGCCTCATGTAGAAAGTAGCACTTGAACTGGAAGGAAAATAGTAATTTCAAGAGGTGAAAGTGAGGGGAAAGAGTATTGGAGAGATGAGGGACTTGTGCAAAAATAGAGGGAGAAGATGCAGGGCCAGGTACAGAGAACAGCAAGTAGGTTAGTTGGCTGAAATGTAGAGTTTGAAAAAGATAGCTTGAAGCCAAATTGTGAAGACAAGACTTTGTAAGCTCATCATTATCATTATGATAGATAGATAGATAGATAGATAGATAGATAGATAGATAGATAGATAGAGCAAGTATTTATCTTACTAAACAGTTACTATATTCCAGCCACTGTTGTAAGTTCTGGGGACACAAATACAAGCAAACAAGACAAACTGTGCCCTATACATTTTAATCAGAAAAGACTATACGTAAAAGAGAGCTAGAAAAGGAAGAGGGGGACCTCTTCCACAGAAACATGCTGTGTAGCTGTCCAGAAAGTGAGGTGAAGGCCAAGTTTTCCTGCAAAATAAGTCAAAATCTCACCTATCAGAACCTTCTGTTCCAGGACGTATTCCAAGTTAGTGGTAGGGTAAGAGAGGTGTGGATGATGACTAGAATGTAGGCAGCCCAGTGAGGAAGTGGCTGGTAAGTATTATTGATGGGGTGAGTTGAATTTTTAAAATAAAACTTAAAATCATGGCATCCTGAGAAGATCTTCAAGATCATCTAGTCTAAGCCCTTATCTGAATTGGTTGATTAATTGATTAATCTCAGATTAATTAAGTGACTCAGCTACAGTCACACAACAATATTAGAACTATACTTCCAGTCCCCTGACTGCCAGTCTGATGTTTTTCCACTGTTCCATGTTGCCTTTAATTTAGAAGCAAAAATTCTGTGTATATGGCGCCTGGCAACCAATGACTTACAATTTGTCTTCACACAGAATTCACTTAAAGTTCCAATCAACTGTCTGATCATGGTGATGAGCGATAAGGTCACAAAATTGTAAAAGGAGACTTCATTGGACAAGTTACACTGAAGATAGTGTTTTGACAGTTTAGCTTAAGAAATTACATAGGTCTTAGTCTTCAGTAGGGTATTCTCTGAAGTGTGATTTCTTCATCTTCTAAATATCTTCTACTATTAAGTTGGACTAAACATTTAAGTAATTTCTGCTAAGTGTCTACCTCCAAAAAAATCGTGTTTTTGTTGATTAAATTATTCTAAAATGGTTTTTCCATCAAGAAGAAAGAAATCTGTGGAAAGACCAATGTCTGCAAAGTCCACTGAAAGTTCTGCTAGGCCTACTTTAAACACTGGAAAGGAAAGAATTTCAACTGTTGGTTTGCCCAGTGTTATTTCGAGTCCTTCACGCCGAGTCAGTTTTGCAACTTCCTTACCTTCTGTGAAGTCCCCTCAGAATCTGGGGGACTCAAAGGTCTCTTTGAAGACTCTTTTGAATGCTATTAAGACCATGGAGGGAAGGCTGGAAGGTAAAATAGATATTCTGGCTGCCAGACCATTAACAACTGAAGAAACATCTGAAATTTTAAAAAGAGATTTGGTGAGTGAAGACCATGAGCATTTAAAATGATGATTAGGAACCTTATTACATTTCCAAGTATAAAACCAAGAAAAATTCATACAGTAAGTGAAAATATACAAAGGTAATACTTAAAGGGGCCTTTCAACATACCAACAAGATTTAATTATATAAGAAACAGATCATACTGAAATTGAAAACATAAGGGAGGGTTTAGATAGATATCAGCTCCAATTCTGGCTAATGTCATGTAATCACTTTTTTACTTTGGAGATCAAGATATAAAATTTGACAATTTTAATCCTATAAGTGCATGTATACAAAAGGAAAAATAGTCTCTGATCTCAAGGAGTTATCTTTTATTGTAGGGAAATAACAAATATGCAGTTAAATAAATACAAAACATATAAAAAGTATATAAATACAAAGTAATTTTGTACATGATGGAAGAGAACACTAACAACTGGAGAGATCTGGAAAGGCATCATGTAGTATGTGAAACTGTAGAAGGAATGTCATTATTTCAAGAGGTGGAGGTGAAGAGATGTTTTAAATGTCATTTTTAGAAAAAAAATTTACATTTTTAGATATCTCCAAACTCAACTCAGGATATATTTCATTTAACAAAGCTTTGGTTAAATGATTTTGTAATTATATTTTATTCTACTTAAATATTTGACTATTTCTATGCAACTTCCAATTTTATTTCAAATAATTGAGCATGGAAAAGTATGTTTAGGTTTGAGCTAAACATCTCTGGTAAAACATCTTCAATTGATATTAAAAATAGAAGGAAATTAATATAAGTGTTGAGTTCTGCATGCTTTCTGTAAACATTACAGTAAGAAGGACCCTGGTGTATATATTGCTGTTAATGGTTGTATTAAAGCTTAAAACAGGAATTTGTGGGTGCGTTTGGTAAGACCTTGAACCATGGTGATAATTGGCAAAATGACACTTCTTTTTTTGTACCTTTCCTGGGAAAAAGCTGGGGTATTAGAATCTACAAGGCAATACCCCTCCCTTTGAGTCAATTGAGTTTCACTCCAAGAATACTAAACTTCAAATATTTGAAAAGAAAAAAGTTAAAGGAAAAAAAATCTTTAAGGAAAAAATAATTTTCAAAATAATGATTATCTAGTGAAATTTACTTGATATACTAAAAAGGGAAAAAATTGAGGACAAAAAAGTCTTTTGTTGCTGTTGGGGGTTTTTCTATTACCCAGTAGAAAATAAACTAGTCCTAGTTAGAATTTCTGCAGTAGATAAAGCACTGGATTTAGCACCAGAGGACCTGAGTTCACAACCTCTCTCTGCTACTTGTGTGACACTGGACAAATCACTTAACCCCTCTAGGTCTATTTACTTGACAGAAAAATGAGGGGATTGGACTAGATGACCTGTAAAATACCTTCCAACTCTGTCTGTGATCCCTGTGCATTTCCAGCTTCATTATTACTCTGATGTAATGCTACTTTCTAAGCTGTTTCAGTTCTATTAAGCAAGTCTTCATTTCCCTGTCACCTCCAAAAAAGTTACCTGTATTTTAAAAAAAAGAGCGTAAATAATGTTAATTTCTTCCTTGTTCTACATTATAATCTCATTAAAATTATTTATTTATTCCCAGTGCAGTCTCTGTATGAAATTTATAAGCTATTTTTGCCCATGTATTTATTTCCTTGTAACTATAACAAACCATCATGAGGGGAAAATTTTATCTTTTGTAAAATCCAGAAAATGTGACTATTGTTAATACTGTTTTAATATTTTTAACATTTATTTTCTAAATTGCCCTAAGTTTCTCATTCTGATCATTCACCTCCTATATTTTGCAAAGTATTAATCATTTCTTTTTTTCTCATAAGATGCAAACTATTCTTGAAAAGAATGAAGACGATTTTTCTCGGGCAATTAAATCCCGTGATGTGTCGTCAAGAGAAAGTCATAAAATGAGGGGGCACCTGGAGGCTTTGGAAGAAAGGGAAAGGAGCAAGGCAAGGAAATTGGCAAATCTTTTTTGAAAGGGTGGGAAATATCCTGTTACTGAAACATGAGCGAAAACTTTTCATGAGCCACATTCCTTATGTTGTTGCCATAGTTGGCAAGGAGGAAAACTAAACAAAAAATAGACTTGTCTCTAACCTGCTCGATGTTTTTTACCCCTTAAAGGAAAGATAGCTTTAAACTACCTTTGAAGTATTTTCCCTCCAAAATCCTTTTTTTTTCCTAATTTTTTTATCTGTGACTTAGATTTTGACTTAGAAAGTCAAAGAAAGAAGCCAGACATTTTCTCTGTTGGAGTTTTTGTTTAAAACCTTTAGGCCCCAAATGAAAATAACTTGCCCTTTGATGTTTATGTTAATGTAATAGAGAGCTAATGTTAATTTAAAAAGTCAAACTATTAAGACAAAGTAGATGCCAATCAACTGGGGAATGGTTAAACAAATTGTGGTGCAGGAATGTCATGGAATGTTATTACTACTTCATAAAAAGCTATGAATATGAGGAATTCAGAGAAGCATAGGAAGACATGTAAGAACTGCTGCCGAATGAAGTAAGCAGAACAAAACATGCAGTATACATGACCAAAACAACATAAATGGAAACAATACAATGACAACAACAACAAAAAAAACCAACCTAAATGCTATGTAATTTTAACAATCAAGCTCAAATCTGAAGAAGAGATGAGAAAATGCATTCCTCCCTCTCTTCTTTGCAGATAATGGGAGTGGGATGGAAAGGGGGATCCTCTGGGTATAGATCATTGCATCAGATTTAGATGATATGTTTGTTAGTTTTGCTGAATGCCTTTTTTCCCCTCTACTTTTGTTACAAGTGATGATCCACTGGGGAAGGGAAGGGAGGGACATTTTTGGAAATGAAGGTGATGTAAAAAAAAAATCAATAAACTTTAAAAAATTTATACCTTAATACTGTTCCTACTTTGCAGCGTCATTCTTAAGAACACAGCTTAGGACCCTTCTCTTTGATATCAATTGCTGAAAGATTTACACTGTGGAGAGGGCTATCCATTATATTGTTCTAAGATAATTTTTCAGTTCATAATGAAGAGCAGAGCCAAGCTTTTTTTACATAGGATGATATGGCACACAATTGAATGGAAGAAATTTTTTAAAACCCACAGGATTCTCTTTTTCTCCCCAGCATCCTATCATGCATTTGTCTATATACATTGAAAAATAATCCGAAGCATGCTGCCTTCCACATACATGCATTGGCCCTCTGAAGACTCAGAAACAAGGTTGGTAAAGCACCAGTTTTATTGCAATCAAACTTGTCCCTCTTATTTGATTTTACATTAGATGGGAAATTTTCAGCGACAGCTGGCAGAGGCTAAGGAAGATAACTGCAAAGTCACAATCATGCTGGAGAATGTACTAGCTTCTCATAGTAAAATGCAAGGAGCTCTGGAGAAGGTGCAGATGGAATTAGGGAGGAGGGATTCAGAGATTTCGGACCTCAAGAAAGAGAGGTATCTAAGATTTCATTTGTCTAATTTTTCTCCACGTTCCTTCTTTTTATCCAGTGTTATAAAATTACTTTTTACCTTTGCCTTTTTTGGAGGCTAATAATATGGCATTTGAAGAATAAGCATATTTTTTCAGGTCAGAGGTAGAAGTGAATGTGGTTTTCAGAAATCCAATTTCAGATTTCATTGTATTGGAGCAAAATGAAACATAATGGAATGCTTGCGATTAATCTTCTTCAGCACAAATTCTCCAATAAACTAGAATTGTTATTTGATGAATGGATTATAGCTTTACTCATCCTGACTTCAGGTCTATCAAGTATAGTTATAAAGGTAATTCAAAGTAAATACCCACTCTGGGTGGAACTTAAGGCCGTGCTAGAGATAGCTCTAACTAGCCTACCAGCCCATTTTTAACTTTTCAATGTGAGCATTTACACCTAAGAAATTGGCAATCATGGGGCAACTAGGTGGCAGTGGATAGAGCACAGGCCCTGGAGTCAGGAGGTCCTGAGTTCAAATCCGTCCTGAAACACTTGATGCTTACTAGCTGTGTGACTGTAGGCAAGTCACTTAACCCTGTTGTCTAGCCAAAAAAAAAAAAAAAAGAAAGAAATTGGCAATTACTAAAAATCAGGGCTTGATTTATTGTTCTGTGGATTGAAAGTGTTAATCATGCAGATTAATCTTAAAAATATGTACGCATACATTTGAATCTGGCTGTTGAATTAGAATTATATATCAGAAATAAACTTCTAAGGTGATCAGTTCTGAGAGCTAAAGACTACTTTTTTGTCATAGACTTTAAGTAGATCAGCTGAAATTGTAACTCCTTTATGAGTTTGAAAATACATGCTCCATAGATAACAGGGCCTTAAAAACATTTTTTGTTATCACTTGAAACCACATCACATACCTAATCTTGATCACAGGGGACAGATGATGAAACACATTTCCCTCTTCTCAGAGAGGTGAAGGATAATACATCTGTATATAATGTTGCATGTGCTGTCAGATGAGGTAACTTTGTCAGTCACTTTTGTCTAGCTGTTTTTTCTTTTTAATAAGGAGAAGAAAAGATTGTTGTATAAAAGATAAAATACATCAATAAAAAATTTTAATGAAACCATATTTAAAGGAGTTCTATTGGGGAGAAAAATAAGTGTCAGCTAATAACCTTTTGGAGGAGAATCAAACTAGAAAAAACATTGATCTTAAATATGGTTTTGTGCTTAATATAGTTATATAGGTGTCAAATTAATAATTTTTAATATATTAATAATTACTAAAAATAATTACTTAATTTAGTCATTGTTCAGTCATTCCTCAGTCATGTCTGACTCTTTATAGCCCCGTTGGGATTTTCTTGACAAAGATATTGGAGTGGTTTGCTATTTCCTTCTCCAGTTCATTTTACAGATGAGGAAACTGAGGCCAACAGGGTTAAGTGAGTTGTCCAGGATCACACAACTAGTAAGTGTCTGAGGTCAGATTTGAACTCAGGAAGATGAATCTTCCTGACTCCAGGACTAGCACTGCATCTAGTGGCCCACTTCGCTGCCCCTACTTAATTTACTAATAGGTGTCAAACACACAGCATGCTGCCCAGACTGGAGTGTAGCTGAACCAAACTAAAATGTAATTAGGATCCATTTCTATTTGAGTTTGAGGCCATTGGTCTGGTTTACAAAGTCAGACAAGCAAAAAAACCACTGGCATCATTATAGTAGATGCTGTCCACTTTCCCCAGCAGAGTTAGCAAGCACTTATTAGGTATCTGGTCTCTTACAAGCTCTGCCCCAGGTATTGGGGATAAAAATGCAAGAGGAAGATAGTCCCTGCATTTCAGGAGTTTACATTTTGCTGGAAGGTAACAACAGGTTCACAAATAAGTAAATACAGGATATATACAAAATGATTTCTAAGAGGGTTCACCAGTAAGATTGCAGAGGTTGGAAGGAGCTGGCAGTAAGAAAAGGCAAATAAGAGAAAGGCACTGGAGATAGCCTGGCAAGGATGTGGAGGTAAGGATATTCACTGTCATTTATGAGGAGGTAGTCTGGAGCTAGATTGTGGCTTTAAATGCCAACAGAGAACCACTGAAGCACTAGTGGTGGGAGTGGAAGCCAGATTGCAAAGGGTTGAAAAGTGAGTGGGAGGTGAGAAAGTGGAGGCAGGATTGTAGGGAGCTTTTTCTAGGTTTTTGGCTACAAAAAGGAGTCAAGCTACAGTTTTATAGCTTGAGGTAAGATAGGACTCATTGGAAAGACCCTGATGTTGGGAAAGATTGAAGGCAAAAGGAAAAAGGTATGACAGAGGATGAGATGGATAGATCGTGTCGTGGAAGCAACTAACATGAGCTTGGACAAACTTCTGGAGACAGTGGAGGATAGAAGGGCCTGGCATGCTATAGTCCAGGGGGTCCTAAAGAGTCAAACACAACTAAACAACTGAACAACAAGGTCACAGGAAGTTTGTTTTGAGAATGGAGGAGGGCTGGGCATGTTTGTAGGCAACAGTAAAGGAGCCTTTGGACAAAGAAAGACTGAAAAGAAGACAGAATGAGGGATTGATCAAAGTGCAAGTTCCCTGGAAATAAGAGTGGGTTTACAACTAGCTTTGGCAAAGAGAGGGCCCCTGCTGAAAATGGATCATCTCTTCACTCCTGAATAATCTAGTAGATCCTTGGAAAATAGTGCTTATCATAAGTCAATCGATGACATGTTATAAGTATCTACTTTTTGCACAGTGGTATACCTAGAAACCATAAAGAGTTAAAAAGTAATGGAAAACTCAGTTTTTTGCATTCAATTCTCTGCCCCATAGTTTCTGATCTGAATTATTCCACGTACTCATTGTCTTTTCCCTTAAACTCTCCTCACTCCTCACTACCCTGTTACTGTAGAGGGCTAGATCATCCTTCCAGTCCCTGAAGCTCTCACCCCAGGTGTCATCCTCAACTACCAACTATCTCTCATTCTCCCGTATCCAATCTGTTGCCAAGGCTTATTGATTTCACTTTTGCAACCTTTCTCAAATCCTTCTCCTTTCCTTCTGACACTGCCACCACTCTAGTGTAGGCCCTCATTACTTCATGACAACTATTGCAATAGCCTGCTGGTGGGGTCTGCCTGCCTCTAGTCTGTAGCCACTCCAATATAGCCTCCATTCAGCCACCAAAATGATCTTTGGAAAGCACAGGTTCAACCATTTCCGCCACCATACTCAATAAACTCCAGTGGCTCCCTAATGCCTCCAAGATTGAATACAAAATGCTCTGTTTGTCATTCAAAGCCCTGCATGACTTAGCCCCTTCCTACCTTAGCAGTCTTCTTACACCTTATTCCTTAACACAAGTACTCTTTGATCCAGTGACACTGGCCTCCTTGCAGAGAGCAAGACCTTCCATCCCTCAGCTCTGGGCATTTTCTCTGACTGTCCTAGAATGCTGTCCTTTCTCATCTCCACCTACTGGCTTCCCCAGCTTCCTTCAAGTCCGAATTAAAATCACATCTTCTAAAGGAAGCCTTTCCCAACCCCTCTTAAGTTTAATTCCTTCCCTCTTTTGTACTCATCCTGTGTATAGCTTATTATACATATTTGTTTGCTTGATGTCTCCCACATTATCTTATCATCTCCTTGAGAATAGGAACTGTCTTTTGCAAAACTCTTTTTGTATTCCTAGCACTTAGCACAGTGCCTGGCACATAGGTGTTTAGTAAGCATTTGTTGTCTGGATGACTATTGATTGACACACTGACTATGGGAATTTAGGAATATTATTTAATCTGTTACTAGTTGAAATTGAGGCTAATAACTGCCCCCCACAGACTTAGCATTTGGAAGTTAGGTAATAGTTTTCATCAGCTCAAAAGCCTTAATATACATTACTTTATTGATTCCCAACAAATTTGTTTTACATCAAGATTATCTTTGCAATAGTCATTTTTGTTCTCTTTTAAATTTTTAGGCTTCTAAATCAGCAGAAGGTACAGAAGTTAGAAGCAGAATTGGATGAATGGCAATCCAGGCTCCTTATTGTAGAAGCCCAGCACAATAGTGAGGTAGAGGCCAAGTTTTCATAGGTGATAAAATGAAATTTTTTATTTTATGGGAAATGTCTGAACCACAGTTTTTTGAAGAACTGGAAAACTGAATGAAAAAGAATCTTGTAAATTCCCTTTTTTGCTAAAAGATGACTTTTGTCAGTGGCAAGTTTACAAATGGAAAACAGGCTCCATGAAGTAAGTGGTATAATGTCACTGTAAGACCTGGAGCAAAATTAACTTTACTCTCTTTTGTACATGACGACTTTAAAGTTCTACATATGTCAGTTATTATAATTATTCTTATCCTGTCTTCTACTGTTAATATTTTTTGCATTTAATATATTTTTAAAATTCAGAAGTTAAAGGATTGAGAAAAGAACTTGTAACTTCAGTCAAGAGAATCTAAAATGTATCCACTAGCTATATATTCAAAGCTTTTTACAGGCAAATTCTTTCAATTACCTCTAATAGGATCAATCTATTTACTCAAAAGGATAGCGAATTCTTAGAAATCAAATATATACCCATTATACATTTCTACATGTTGTCACCATACCAACAAAGACATCTGGGATCTTTGCTTTGTTTTCTAACCAATCATTTCTGCTTGATAAAGTGATATGAGTATACAAGGTACATAGATATTCCTCATACATACTTCAAGGAAATTAGAGCTTACTGTTGCCCTCTTCTTTCAGGTGGAACCACTGCATAATGCACTAGATGTGTCCAGAGAAGACAATAGGAAGCTTGCTTTGAGCTTGGAACAAGCTCTACAAACTAATGGCCAACTCCAACAGATGCTGGACCGTATTCAAGAGAAATTGGACAGCAAAGAAATTGAGCAGCAAACTTTGGAAAATTACAAGTAAGGGCAATGCAGTTGTCATAAAGTTAAGGAAGGGCTTACAAAAAGTAAATTTGCTTCTTTTGTCTTGATAACTGATTTTCATTTCCATTCCAAGCCACGAATAACAAAGTAACCACCAGCTTATTAATGATTTAAATGCAGTCATTTGAATACTGGTGGAGTAGCTGCCAGATGGCAGTGAAATGACTCAGCTGAGCATGGAGTTTACTAAGTAATCCTTTTGTTCTCGGTTCCTTCAGGTCGCTAATAAGATTTAGGCCATGAGAAAGACCAAGCATCTCATGTGTCCACAGCCTAAATTACATTAGGATGAGTCTAAAAGAAATCAGTCTATCTAAAGGAAATCAGACATAAAATAAAATACTTTCAATCCTCTTTCAATTCTGCTAGAATTTTTTAGAGAATTTCTACCTAGGAAAAATGCTAACTGTATACAAACATTCCCCCCAACCCCCTTAATGATGTGTGTCACAGAGGAAAGGGTAGTAGGAAGAAAGGATAATTTTTAAAAATATACTTAGAGTTCTATTCACATTTTATATTATGATGAAAAGTTATATAGTCTTTTTTTAACCTATTGAAAAAACTGTAGAAGACAACTATTGTTAGAAATGGTTGTACAGTATAGTGGCTTGGAGAGAAAACAGCAACCATTCATTTGACAGGCAGGACACAGATCAGTAATAACAACTAATTTTTATATATCACTTTACAATTTGCAAAGCACTTTACATGCATCACTTTACACTCTCAGTGACCTCACCAACTTACATGAGTTCAATTATTATCTCTAAGCAAATGGCTCTCAGATCTATATATCCATCCCTAGTTTTTCTCCTCATTTCCAGTCTCTCATCACCAACTGTTTGGCTGTTGGACGTTTCAAACAGAATGTCTCATAGACATCTCAAACTCAAAATGTCCAAAGCTGAATTCATTATCTTTTCCCCAAAACTCTTTTACCCTTCCAGATTTTCCTGTTTCCTTCCAGTCACCCAGGTTCACAGCCTTAGAGTCTTCCTTAATTCCTTACTGTCCTTCATCCCATATAGTTGCCAAGTCTTGTCAGTTTTTATCTCCAGAACATCTCTTGCATCTGTCTCCCCTCTACTTACATGTCTACCACTGTATTTCAAATTTTTATTACCTCTATCCAGGGCCATCTGAATAGCCTCCTAATTGGATTTCTGCCTCGGGTCTCTTCCCACTCCAATCCATCCTCCACATAAGTATCCAAAGTGATATTCCTAAAATATTGATCTGGTCATGCCATTTCTCCTTATTCCTTCTATGGTCAAAAACACCCTTCTCTGTTTAACATTTAATAACCTTGAAAATCTGGCTCCAATTTGCTTCTCAAGTCTTACTTTATGTTATTAATCCCCTTCATGCATTCTCTTGATGGACCTCACACACAATATTTCATTGTGTCTCCGTGTTTTTGCAGTGGCTGTCCCCCATACCCAGAATATACAGATGATCCTCATTATTCACCAATGCTGTGTTTGTGAAATTTATCTGCTTGCTGAAATTCATTTGTAATCTCAAAATCAAAACTCATAGCACTTAAACTTCATTCCTGGATGTACACAGAGTGGCAAAAAATTTGAGTCACCAACACACACATTCTCAGCTGATGCTAAATAAGGCAGTGTTCTCTTACTGTAAACAAGTGTCCTTTTTGCAGTCTGTTTAGTGCCAGTTTTTAAATTTTTGTACTTCATATTGGTGATTTCACTGTTTGTAATGTCCCCAAGAGTAGTGCTATTTAGTGCCGAAGTGCTATTTAGTGTTCCTAAGGATAAGAAGGCTGTGACAGGCCTTAACAAAGAAAATGCACGTGTTAGATAAGCTTCACTCAGCATGAGTTACAGTGCTGTTGGCTGTGAGCTCAATGTTAATGAATTTACAATACAGTATATGCAAAAAAGAAAAGAGAAAATTCATAGCCACTCAAGAAAGTGCTAAAGTTAATGCTGGGAGCAGAGGCTCACAGGAACCTAACCCTGTATTTCCCCTGTGAGCAATGGTTTAGCATTCACTCATTCTGTGTTCACAGAAACTTGATAGAATATACCACCAGTGATGAGAATCAGCTGTACTCCTCATTTCTACTTCATAGAACTGAGGAAATTGAGGGGATTAGGACAGCAAGTGGTTAATTGTGGAAGTGAATGAATCTTACTGACTTCATCCTTTGACTCAGTTCTGGAGCTAGCTTGTTTCTTTTCAATTAAGGGTCTAGTCCAATTTCTGTCTTGTTAGAAAACTTTATTCAATTGTAGGAATTGAGAGAAAACTTTAATGCATTAGTTAATCCTAACCCTGCATGATTGGGAAAGTGGACCATATCTCCCTGCTGCTTAGAGATACTTAATTAAAGGATCTAGGTTATGCTAACCAAAAACTCAATCAGATCCAAAGTTTCATGCAAGGAGTTTGTAAACATACATACGCACACGTATACACATATACACACATACATACATTTCAAGCAACCCATATGTCTTATCTGAAAACTGGGAAGGGGTATTCAGAATGCATGCCATCTTGGAGTGGGGGGAGGGGCGAGATGGGGTGAAAATTTGAAACTCAAAATCTTGTGGAAGTAAATCTTGAAAACTAAAAATAAATAAATTTAAAAATAAAAGTGGCACCATATTAATCAACCACTTACTGTTTCTATGTTCCTTTATTTTTTTTTTGGTGACGCAATTGGGGTTCAGTGACTTTCCCAGAGTCTCATAGCTAATAAGTGTTATGTGTCTGAGGCCACATTTGAACTCAGGTCCTCCTGACTCCAGGGCCGATGCTCTATCCACTGTGCTATCTAGCTGCCCCTCCTTTGATTATTTACAGACACTTGGGGAGAGTGGTACGCTTCTTTTTTTGAATTCAGGAAATTGTGCCTGTTCACTCTCCCTTTCCCAACTTGGAAAGTCCAACTTAATGTTGTATTGTTTCCTTTTATTTAATTGGCCTTATTTGGTTGTTTTTAATGTAGAAAAGTCTGATTCCCCCTGTATTCAGGGTCCAGCCCTAAGCTAAGAAAGGGGCCTGGTCCCAATTTGTTGGGCAATTGGCATACATTTCTTAATAAATCAATATACTCAGAAGAGCAAACCTTTGTTTCCTCAGTTACTTCATCTTTCACCCACCACAGAATTTAGAATTTCTTTCCAAGCTCAGTTCAAGTGCCACCTTCTACACAAACACTTCTATGATCTTTTCAATACTTTTCACCCTCTCACCCAAATTACCTTGTAATTATTTTGTATTTACTTCCATATTTGTAGAGGGTTTCGGCCTATCTAATCTAAAGAATAAACTCCTTAACATAAATAAGAATAAGTAATTCTTTTAACTTTCTGTAGTCTTGATTCCACTGTATCCACTATGCAATGTTCCTTTTATGCCAATAATAACAACAAAAATAATAATGATTGCATTGATAATAACTAACATGTATTTGGTACTTAGGAGTTTATAAGGAAAGATATAGGTTCAGAATCCCATTTCTGACTCTCGCTCTGCGGCCTGACAAGTCATTTACCTTCTCAGGCAATTCCTTAGTGCATCTCTCCTGAGTCTTGGTTGGCTTACCTGCACTGCTGATAGGAATTCCCATAGGTTCCTGTACTGAGGAAAACACTGATTCTTCATGTATTACCATTACTGTTTTCTCATTCTTCTTATCTTATGTGGAGTTCAAATAGAAATTGACCTGGGACAAGTTGCTATCCTACTATCTGTGTGTTATATTTAGTACTTGGCATACTATATATTTAATATTATACAGATGGAAAAGGTAATTAATTTTTATAAAAATATATAAATATTATATAAATATAAAAAAAGTTGTGGGACATTAGCTCATCTTCTCCAGATTCATTCAAAGCATCCCTAAGACAACTCCAGTAGTAGACAGTACTTAAGAATAATAACAATAATAATAATAATAACTAGAATGTATTATCACTTTACAAAGCATTTTACAAATATCGTCTCATTTTATCTTCACAAAAGCCCTGGGAAATAAGTGCTGTTATTACAGAATTTTACAGAAAAGGAAACTGAGGCAAGCAAAGGTTAAATGACTTGCCCAGGGTTACACAGCTAGTAAGTATATGAGGCCAGATTGAACTCAGATTTTCCTGACTCCAAGTCCAGCATCATATCCACTGTGCCACCTAGCTGTCTCTAATTAGGATAATAGATATATAATTCATCCTGCTCCCATATAGATTGGATTTCTTTTGCGAAGTCTCTATATTTTAAAATCTTTTCATTCAAATAGTCTAGAATTTGAGTATTCAGTATAGTGACTGTTATTAAAATGTTCATAGATTTTTATAGGTCATTATCATTGGCAAGATGGTTAGGGGCAGCAGTTTGTTTTTTCTGTGATGATTCTCTGGTACCACTACAATTTATTTGTTGGATTATCAAGGATATTTTATGGTTTGTATTTGTAGTATAAAATTTCTCTTCTGTTAGGTTATGGAGGGTATCAAGCTTCTGTTATACAGTTCTGGCCATTGATGCTAAATTTTTGCAACCTACAGTGATTTGTTACACAGTTATTATCATATGTGGCTGTTTATTCCTCTAGTAATAGATGGGAAAATTTCAGTTAGGTCTCTATTGGTAAGGTTATAGGGTTAGGATTGGGATGGGATTAGGGAAATTCAACCTAGAAAAGATGGGTGGGACAAGAGAAGAGGCAATATAGTAATGAGGTGGAGATCCATGAAAGATGGAGACCAGTTATAAAGTTTTGCTAAGAAATAGAAATATTAGAGTATTTTAGATTTGTGGTTATGCAAATAAATATAACTAGCTGAGCAATAATGAAAAATTGTGAAAAAGTAAAGTTTTCCTTTGAGGCTTATTTCATTTTTTATATTTGTATTTCTTTTTAATACACCTCACTTTCCAGGACAGCTCTTAGATACCTGGTATCTTTCTCATAAGCTTTCATCTTCCCCCTTATGAAA